TGTGACACTTCTTTTTCAAGATTGTCATACTTCATCACGCAAAACTCACAATTCAGAAGACCCTTTTTATTTTTAACTTCCATGGCCTATATCACTCTCTGTAGCTTGGAGTTAGTTTGGGCTAATAAAAACAGACTGAGGCAGGAGGATCACTTGAACCCAAGAATTTGAGGTTGCAGTGAACTATCATCACACTGCTGTGAAATGTCAGAGATACCAACTGTCAAACTTAGTACTTAAGAAAATCAGACATTTCATACTTAATAATCTTTACTGGATCAAATTGAACAGTATATAACCTTTAAAGACTGGCTTTTTTTCACTCAGCTTAATTCCCTGGAGATTCATCCAAGTTGTTGCATTGTATCAATGTCCCACAGTTAGTTTAGCCATTGACCTGCTGAAAGACATCTGGACTGATTCTAGTTTTTGATTATTATAAATAAAGTTTCTATGAATATTCTTGTACAGGTTTTTGTGTGAGCATAAGTTTTCATTTTGCTAGGATAAATACCCAGAAGTACAATTGCTGAGTTGCATGGTAGTTGAATATTTAGTTTTTTAACCCCTTGCACTCAGATGTCGAGTGGGGCTCGACACTGTTAGCAAAAATTATAGAGATTAAAATTACTCTTTGAGGTGATTGTTGAGGAGGTTGTTGAGCAAATTGATATCGGTGGAGTGACCTTATTGAGAGCAGCAGCCAAAAACCATGCCTGAGTGACAGTTGTATGTGAACCGGAGGACTATGCAGCAGTGTCCACAGAGATGCAGAGCTCCGAGAGTAAAGATACCTCCTTGGAGACCAGACGCCAGTTAGCCTTGAAGGCATTCACTCATATGGCACAATATGATGAAGCAATCTCAGATTACTTCAGGAAACAGTACAGTAAAGGGATATCTCAGATGCCCTTGAGGTATAGAATGAACCCTCATCAAATTCCTGCCCAGCTATACACGATGAAGCCCAAGCTTCCCATCACAGTTCTAAATGGAGCCCCTGTTTGGAGATTTTTTGATAAAGGCCATTCTCACTGGGGTTAAGTGATATCTCATTGTGGTTTTGATTTGCATTTCCCTGATGATTAAAGATGTTGAGCATTTCTTCATATGTTTGTTGGCCATTCTTCTGTCTTCTTTAGAAAAATTTCTGTTCAAGTCCTTTGCCCACTTTTTTAATGGGGGGTTTAATTTGATTTTCTTCTAATTTCGTGGATTTCTAAGGTTATATCTGTTTATCTAGTCCCCTATCGGATGTTATAGGAATTCAAAGAATTTCTCTCATTCTGTAGTTGTCCTGTTAACTGTTCAATGACTTATTCTTGGCTGGTGCAGAAGTTGTAGTTTGATTCCAAAATGTTCCCATTTATAATTTTGTTTGCTTGCTTGTGATTGCCCTTTTTGGGAACTTTCCTTCAATAAACCCCTTCTTGCCCGGCCGATGTCCTAGGAGGTTTTCCAACTTTTTTCCTCTGAGATTCTAATATTTCATACTTAGGTTTAATCCTGTTATCCCAGCGTGAGTTTTGGTTTTTTGTGAAGATAGGTGAAAGGTGTGGTCCCTTTTTAAGCCTTCTTAATCTAGGGGCTATCCAGTTTTCCAAGCATAACCATTTATTGAAGAAATTCTTTCTTCCCCCAGCGTAATGTTTTTGTCTGCTTGGTCAAGATTGAGATGGCTATATGAGGATGGTTTTATATCAGGATTCTCACATCTGTTCCACTGGTCATATTCCTGTTTTTGTGCAATACATATTGTTTAATTACTACAGCTTTGTAGTATAGTTTTGATATTTGGCATATTAATCCTCCCATTTGTTTGTTGCCTAGAATTGCTCTTGCTGGCGTGGTTGCGGAGAGAGAGGAACACTCCTACACTGCTGGTGGGACTTGCAACTAGTTCACCTCTGTGAAAACAATATGGAGATACCTTAAAGCGATACAAGTGAATCTACCATTTGATCCAGCAATCCATTGCTTGGCATCTACCCAAAATCCAGTGGACACTCTACAAAAAGACACCTGCACTCGAATTGTTATAGCAGCACAATTCATAATTGCAAGGCTGTGGAAACAGCCCAAGTGCCCATCAATCAAGAATGGATTAATAAAATGTGGTATATGTATACCATGGAGTTACTATTCAGCTCTAAGAACAATGGTGATATAGCACATCTTATATTTTTCCTGGTTTAGAGCTGGAACCCAATACACTAAGTGAAGATCCCAAGAATGGAAAAAACAAGCACAGATATATCTCAGAAAACTGGTATTAACTGAGTAGCACCTAAGTGGACACATAAGGTGCTACAGTAATAAGTATTGGGCAGGGGGAGGGGGGAGGGGGGCGGGTATATACATACATAATGAGTAGAATGTGCACCATCTAGGGGATGGTCATGATGGAGACTCAGACTTTTGGGGGGAAATGCCATTTATGAAACCTTAAAATCTGTACCCCCATAATATGCCAAAATAAAAAAAAAATAAATGGAGCCCCTGGATTTACAAACTTGTGTGATGCTTTGAATGCCTGGCACTGGTGAAGGAACTCAAAGAGGCATTAGGCATTCCAGCTGCTGCCTCTTTCAAACATGTCAGCCCAGCAGGTGCTGCTGTTGGAATTCCACTCAGTGAAGATGAGGCCAAAGTCTGCATGGTCTATGATCTCTATAAATCCTCACTCCCATATCAACTGCATATGCGAGAGCAAGAGGGGCTGATAGGATGTCTTCATTTGGTGATTTTGTTGCATTATCTGATGTTTGTGATGTACCAACTGCGAAAATTATATTCAGATAAGTATCTGATGGTATTATTGCCCCAGGATATGATGCAGAAGCCTTAAAAATACTTTCTAAAAAGAAAAATGGGAACTACTGTGTTCTTCAGATGGACCAGTCTTATAAACCAGATGAAGATGAAGTTCAAACACTCTTTGGTCTCCGTTTAAGCCAGAAGAGAAACAATGGTGTCATCAATAAGTCATTATTTAGCAATGTCGTTACCAAGAACAAAGATTTGCCGGAGTCTGCCCTCAGGGACCTCATCGTGGACACCATTGCTGTCAAGTACACTCAGTTGAACTCCGCGTGCTACACCAAGAACGGGCAGGTTATTGGCATTGGAGCAGGACAACAGTCTCGGATACACTGCACACGCCTTGCAGGGGATAAGGCAAACTATTGGTGGCTTAGACACAATCCATAAGTGCTTTCTGTTTTTTTTTTCCTTTTATTTCATCATATTATGGAGGTACAAATATTGTTAGGGTTACAAATATTGCCCCTGCCCCCCCCCATGTGTCCAATCCCCCACAAGTGCTTTCAATGAAGTTTAAAACAGGAATGAAGAGAGCAGAAATCTCCAATGCCATCGACCAGTATGTGACTGGAACCATCGGCAAGGATGAAGATTTGATAAAGTGGAAGGCACTGTTTGAGGAGGTCCCTGAATTATTAACTGAGGCAGAGAAGAAGGAATGGGTTGACAAACTAAGTGAAGTTTCTATCAGCTCTGATGCCTTCTTTCCTTTCAGGGATAATGTAGACAGAGCTAAAAGGAGTGGTGTGGCGTACATTGCTGCCCCCTCTGGCTCTGCTGCTGACAAAGTCGTCATTGAGGCTTGTGATGAACTGGGAATAATCCTCACTCACATCAATCTCCGGCTCTTCCACCACTGATCTCATTGCACATTATTTTATGGTTTGCACACGTGCAGGTGAATTCATGTGTGGGATTTTGAAAATAACTTGTTTTAAAAAATAGAACATTAAATCTTTAAAAAAATAAAATTACTCTTTGAATGTATCAATAATTTGAAATATAAAAAAATCCAAATAAATAAGTTTGTATGAAAAGAAACTCCAGTTTTTTTTTTGTTTTGTTTTGTTTTTTGGGTTTTACTTCAGTTTATAATTTAATATGCCTGAGAATTTTTGTGCAAATATATGTCACTTTTCATTAAAAATGTGCATAGCGCACTTTGGAAAAAGTTGGTTTACTTGCAACCAACTTTCCTCACAAAAAATTTTACATATATAAATATACAACATTTCCTAATTCCTATGATTGCACTTTTGGTTTAACCCTGTCCCACCTCTAAGGAAATTTGAAAGACATGCAATTATGCTTGTATTCCTTCACTACTGCGCTTATCCTGAAGAAATATTCTAAAACCCAGTTTCCTTGGTTCCAATATACCCATATTTTCTTTCTTAAAAGTAAATCCCTCCCACCCCTCACCTATGTTGGGTTCTTTTTGGAGGTTGTATAAAAATACTAATTTTAAAAAATGAACTTTTATTAATGATAAATACAAAGGAATTTGGGTGGTGTTTGAGCTGCCAGTGGCTCAAAGGTCTGAACACAGAAAGGAAAAAGGGAGTCTCCACTTCTGATCTAATGAAAAAGATAAAATTCCTTATTTTGCTAATGCTGTGATCATCCTGTTTGATGGATGCATAATTTAATCCAACGCTAGCAGGGGAAACATATAAGCCATGTCACTGTTAACAGATAACAGACTGTCACAGATAACAGACTGAGCCTACCCACCAACCCTTCAGAACAGCTTTCTATAAGCAACAGTCACTCCTTTTCTCCTCCCATCTTTCTGACCTGGGTTTCCCTTGTCCATGCTCACCAGAAGTAAATGTGCCAGCAAGTTCCATATCTGTGGTTTGTTTCAATATTACTGAATTTATTTTCTATTTACTTTTTATTTTCAAGGCAAGAAAACTCAACTGAAGGAGTGTATTAAACCTTTCTTCCTTTTCTGCCTCCAAACACTCACAGCCCATTCATTTATACTTTCGATTTATGAGACTTCATCCATTAGGACCTCATCCCAATTTTGTTTCCATTCTTTCACATCCCACTTTCCACATTCACAACCCTTCTGCGACATTCCTTTTCTCTCGTCAGACCAGACCACATGCATCCGTGCATATCGACCCTTCTTGCGCTGATCTGGACAGGAGCTCGGCTGACCGCTGACCTCAGTCCTCCTTCAGGAGATCCATTTTGGGTGAGGATGTGCAAACTGGGGCACCAAAGCTACCCATCATGACTGGAAGACTCTGAGTCCTCCTGAGTCCACCCAATAAATTGCTAGGTGCATTCAAATAAACAGCAGAATCTGGTTTTTGAAGACCAGTTTCTGCCTCTTGGCTTCTTTTTTTTTTTTTTGAGACAGAGTCTCGCTTTGTTGCCTAGGCTAGAGTGAGTGCCGTGGCGTCAGCCTAGCTCACAGCAACCTAAAACTCCTGGGCTCAAGTGATCCTTCTGCTTCAGCCTCCCAAGTAGCTGGGACTACAGGCATGTGCCACCATGCCCGGCTACTTTTTTCTATATATATTAGTTGGCCAATTAGTTTCTTTCTATTTATGGTAGAGACGGGGTCTCGCTCTTGCTCAGGCTGGTTTCAAACTCCCGACCTCGAGCAATCCGCCCGCCTCGGCCTCCCAGAGAGCTAGGATTACAGGCGTGAGCCACCGCGCCCGGCCCGGCTTCTTCCATTCTCCTTGGCGTCAGGGGCCTTGATCACTCTGGCTATCCCCAGTCTCTTCAGCCTGTCCACTAAATTCATCTTCAACTGGCCAATGTCAGGAGGGTTCCGGGAGGGCCTCAAGCCATACATTTCTTGGAGGAATGTTTCAGCTGGTCGGGAGGCCAAAAAATTTTCAGAGAGATGTACTCGAGGTTCAAAGGGCAAAGGAGAAGGGCAAGGTGAGTGAGATGGTGAATTTGGTGGTGTGGAAGGGATGGCTAGGGATTTAGGGAGCGGCTGGAAGAGGGGGTTCTCTGAAATTGGGCTGTGGTACACTTTGGCAGAGATGCCTCGCTCTTGTAGAAGTTTGGCCAAACTCATGGTGCTACTGAAGGTTATGGTAGAATCTCGTCGGTTGGTGATGGATTCACCAATGCTGAGTCTATAGGACATGGCAGGAGAATTCACAGCTGTGTTTGATGAACTGCTACCACTACTTCCACAGGATAATGAAGGGAACCCAGAGCTGGGGGTAACCTGAGTGATGTCAGAGGGATGCAATATCCTACAAGTGGTGAAGGTGAATGTCGAGTTCGTGCCTGACAGACACTTGCCTGGGTTTGAGGTTGCAACTGTAACTGGCCCACCTGCTGAGGTAATGGACGGTAGGAAGATCCCTGTTACTGGCTTGGATATTGCAGGTTTCTGTTCCACTTGAAGAGGCTGCTGAACCTGAAAAGTGATACCCTCCTCTTTATCTTCTTCTAAATCTGTGATGTGATAGATGGCATCCTTGGGCAACTGGGTAAAGCCTTTAGTAATGACACCTGGTCGGGGATCAAGAATTGTTCCCAAGTTTGGTTGAGCAAGCTGCTGCCAATGATGCAGAGTCTGTGATCCTTCCAGCGGCTTGACAATTTGTAATTTTTCTGGCATAAAGCCTCGAAGGCAACTGGCACTGCTGAAATCTGTGAACTCTGACTGGTTGGTGCAGAGGGAGGCGAGGCTCTCTGTGGGGGTGATGCAGCCACTAGCCCTTTCCTTCTGGTCAGCCAGAACCTGGATCCTTCGCTCCCATTCTTCAGCAAAGAACTGCTTGTCACTTAAATAGTTCTGTCAACACAGGCTAAGGCGATGCAGTGCTGTAGCCAAATCACTCTCTCCAGACGGTCCTGGCTGGTCTGGCATCTGGGAGTTCCTTGGAACCTGCTCCGAGTTGCTCCCCTGGTTGGGGAGTATTTCATCCTCTGTTTGCTGTAAACCAGACTCAAAGAGTTTTGCTGTCATGATGACACTGGAACGGTTGGAGCCTGGGATGGGCAGCAGAGCTGGGAATAAGACAGATCGGCCTCGTGTGTCATTGGCAACTTTGACAGTATCAAATACCCGTTTCTGTTGGGCTTTTTGTTTAAAGAGATAAGATTCCTCGTCCAAATTCAACTTTTTACGCATGGTCCCCTCAATCTCAGCTGCCAAAGATTCTCCAGCAAAAGCTCCATATGACTGTGATAAGTAGAGATGAGCAGTAGGGCCAGATTTACTACAAAGCTCCTTTATTTCTTCTTGGGATGCATGTAACATTCCCAGGCACTCCATATTCCTGTCTTGTAATTCATGTAGCTCCATTGTCAGTTGTCGTTGGGCATCTTTGGAAGCTTGTAGGTGAAGTCTTAGTTCTTCCTTCTCAATCACATGTTCTTTAAGTTTGTGCTGAAGATCTACAATTTGAGACAAGAGAGAGGAGATCTCTTCTTGGTATTTAATCAGTTCATCACTCTTCCCTGACAATTCTTCAGTCATTCTGGACATCTGAGCATTTGTTTCACGAAGTTCTTTAACACAGTCATTGACAAGCTGTTGTTCCTTCTCTTCATAGGTAATAGTTTCTGTCTTTATGTGACAAGCCTTTGATCGAAGAGCCATATTCTCTTCTTCCAGTTCCTTGAGCTTTTCTTGCAGCATGTCCAATTGCAGTAAACCTTGAGATAAGCTAAAGGATTCATTGAACCTAAGAGGTGTAGAACAGCTGGAATCAGTTTCACTTTCTTCAGAAGCGATGGAGACAATTCGAAGTAACTCATCTTTCTTGGATAGCTCATGCTGCAGCTGATTAACTTGATCAAAGGCTTGTCCTAACTGCTCCTCCAGGGCTTCATTCTGCTCAGATAAGATATGGTTTCGTTTCAAGAGAGCTTGTCCAATTCGAGCAGCAAGTTCCAGATCACGATCTCTCTCTGCCAGGAGATGTGTAACCATGTCGATGTCATTGTAAGTTTTGGTCATCTGCTCCACTCTGTCTGTGCCTAGAATCATATAGTGGAAAGTCTCTTCAGCAAGGACTGGAGAGAGGGCATCAGATGCATGTTGCTGCTGGTGTGGGGACTGAGTCCAGTCTTGATTTTCATACAGAAAAAGAGAGTCTACTTTTAGCCTATACTGTGGTAGCTGTTCTTCTAGCAGATTCACCAGCTCAACTTCAGGGAGATCATCACTGGAGCAGACATCAGTGATGCTTTCCGAGTCTCTGTGATTGCTATTCATGAGGTTTTCTTCACCTGTTGGTGACATAAAAATGGCATTCTGGGACTGATTCATGTAGGATTCTTTCTTGCTTTGGTTGAGGAGGACAGCTTTGGTATGAATCAGAGTAAAGGAAATCCATCAAGCCATTCAATAAAGAAATGGATTTGGTCATATGGATATTTTCTTTTATATAGATTTTCTCTGATGAGTCAAATGACATCTGTAGCAATGGGTGCTCTCGTGTGATTATACCTTGGACAGTCATGACCCGAATGGCCCGGCGTCCTCCGTCATCCGCCAGCGCTCCCTCGGAGAGAAGGCTCTAGAGTGGCGGCAGCCTGAGAGCAGCAGCCGAAGCTGCCGCCGCTGCCAGTAACCACCCGGGCGTGGCAGGAACAGCCGGCCGACTTCACAACATCATCATCTGGCGACTTCAGTTCTGCAGTGACGCCAGGTCAATCGAAACTCCAGTTTTTTATTCTACTGCCCTGCTTTGTAAAATCTGGGGTATTTAAAAAATTAAATCCCGAGTAGAATAAAGGAATCGAGAAAAAAGCAAGCGAGTGCAAAGGGTTAAGAAACTGACAAACACTTTTCCAAAGTGGATATACCATTTTACATTCTCACCAGCAATTTATTAATATGAGTGATCCAGCTTCTCTGCATCCTCATCAGCATTTGGTGTTGTCATTATTGTTGTTTACTTATTTTTTTAGAGATGAGTCTCACTCTGTCACTCATGCTGGAGTGCAGTGTTATGATCATAGCTCACTGCAACCTTGAACACCCGGGCTCAAGCTATCCTCCACCTCAGCCTCCCAAGTAGCTGGGACTAGAGGCACGTGCCACCACACCTGGCTAATTTTTTTTTTTTTTTTTTTGGTAGAAATGGATCTCTCTGTGTTGCCTAGGCTGATGTTGAACATCTGGCCTCAAGTGATCCACCCACCTCAGCCTCCCAAAGTGCTGGGATTACAGGCATAAGCCACCACGCCTGGCCACTGTTGTTATTTTAGACATTTGGATAGGTGTGTAGTGACATTTAATTGTGGTTTTAATTTGCGTTTCCCTAGTGGTTAATGATGTTGGGCACCTTTTTGTGTGTTTCTTTGTCATCTCTGTATCTATCTATCTATATTATATATAATATATATATATATATATATATATATCTCCAAAATGTGTTTATTGGGATGGTTTCCCATCCATTCAAGCAGGGTACTTTTAGTGTTGCTTCCTTCTAAAGGAACACCCTTCTGTAAGCTTTGCTTTCCCTCTTGTAGGTTGGCAGAGGACAGTAGAGCAACCAACACAGAAAACTACTATTTGTGCATGGCTAAAAATCATGGTGATTTTATAGCATCCTGAGCATTTCACATTCATGAAGTAGGAATTGGGGCTCTGCACTAGACACTTCTTGTGTTTCCTCTTCTCCAATTCTGGAGAGGGATGAAGGAGATGTTTTGTGAGAGGCATGTGCTTGTGGGAAGGCAGTCACTGCTGGAAAGGCTATATCCTCTTTTTTTTTTCAACACTCAAGTGGAATCTATATATTCTCTTAAGTGAAATGTCTGCTCATGTCTTTTGTTCATTTTCTAATTTAATTGTTAGGGTTTTTTACTGTTGAGTTTTGAAAGCTATTGAATCATATTCTAGGCACCAGTCCTTAAATATTTCCTTCTAGTCTGTTGCTTTTCATCCTCTAACAGGGACTTTCACAGAGCAAAAGTTTTTAATTTTGATGATACCACTTTATCAATTTTTTTCTTATATGGATTGTGCTTTTGGTATCAAGTCTACAAACTCTGCCTAGCTCTAGATTCCAAAGATTTCCCCCTACTTTTTCCTAAAAGTGTTATAGTTTTATGTTTCACATTAAAATCTATGTGATTTAATATCCATTCTGAGTTAAATTTGCATATAAGGTGTGAAGTTTATGACAAGGCTTATATTTTTGTCTGTGGATTTCCAATTGCTCCAGCACCATTTGTTGAAAGACCATTCTTCCTTCATTAAATTGCTTTTGCTCCTTTGTCAAAAATCAGTTGGACATATTTGTGTGGGTCTGTTTCTGGGTTCTCTATTCTATCCCATTGATCCATGTGCCCAGCCTTCTGCCGATATTACAGTCTTGATTACTGTAGCTATATACATAAGTCTTGAAATCAAGTAGACTAATTCCTCCCACATTATTCTTCTTTTTCCAGATTCTATAGCTATTGGATGGTGTGTGCCTTTTCATATACATTTTAGAATAAGCTTGTCTATGTACATGAAAACATTGTTGGGAGTTTGATAGGAACTGCATTAGTACTATATGTTAATTAAGGGAGAATTTGCATCTTTACTATGTTGTTTAAATCCATGGAGATAGTAAAGATGTCCCTCCTTTCATTTAGGTCTTCTTTGATTTCTTTCATCAGCATTTTATAATTTCCAGCATACAAATTCTGCACGCATTTTATTAAGTTTATACCTAAGCACTTCATTTGCTTTGGAATGACTCAAAGTGGTATGTTTAAAAAGTGAGGTTTTGCATGTTTATTGTTAGTATAAACATGATTGGGTTTGTGTGTGTGTGTGTTGAACAACAAGCTATCTAGGAAAAAAAATCTGATTTGTAGCATTTGCTAATTTTCACAATGTAAATATTCTCATTGTGACCAATTTCAAGCCACTAACAAGATGTCAATTGGCTTGTAAAATTCGTGACAATTTTCTTTCTTGGGAAGTGGTAGGAACCAGCTCCAGAAAAACACTGACAAAGCTGAATCTTTGTAACATGCAAATTTGACCAGGTCACTCCCCTGATTAAAACTTTTCAATGGTTCTCCCTCCCTCACAGGATAAAAACCCCAGTTTTCACATTTGCAATTTAGCCACTACAGATTTCACCAGCCTCATCTCTCAAACCAGTCAAACTACCACCCTGATGCTCCACCCATTTTGAATGGCTCAACATTCTTGGATTCGCCAGATTGTTTCACACTTTGTATCTTTTCTCTTGCTTCTCTCTGCACCTGGTGAACACCTATTTATTTTTCCAGACTCACCTGATGCCCTCAGGTAGAACAAGACATGCTCATATTGAAATCCCTTGAGACCTCTGTCATAGAACCTGTAACTCTTTGTCACATCTGTTCCTTTATGTTTCTTTCTCGATTACCAGCCTGTGAAGCTAGCTACTTAAGATGAACAGTCTCATTTATCTTTATCTCTCTAACACTTCAGGCCACAGCTTGGTCTATAGATACCATTTAAATAAATAGTTGTTAGAGGAAAGTAGATTTGGACTAAGACTGGAGGAGTTAAGAGTTGGCTATACACAGCCTGAGCAAGAGCAAGACCCCGTCTCAACTAAAAATAGAAAGAAATTAATTGGCCAACTAAAAATATATAGAAAAAATTAGCCAGGCATGGTGGTGCATGCCTATAGTCCCAGCTACTCAGGAGGATGAGGCAGAAGGATTGCTTGAGCCCAGGAGTCTGAGGTTGCTGTGAGCTTGACGTGGAAAATGTCTGGCGCTGGGACGTGGCCGCTTGCCGCCTCTCCATTGCTCTGCATCTCCACGGGCTGGCACTGCGCGTGGCCAGTTGGAGGGCATGCTGCTGGGGCTAGGCCCCGCGGTAGTGCCGCTGAGGCCCCGCGTGCTGGAATGCCAGTGGGCCCTCGTGCTGCCACCTATTTCCGACCACGCTGCTTGTGTGATCCTGATTGGGTAATTTTTGAATCCCACTGTTGTTGATTGGATGTTATTTGCGGATTGGATGTTAAAGCTTGTAGTTGATTAGATGCTTTTTGAGCCCTACCAAGGGTATAAAAGCAGGAGGAGAACAAGGAAGGGGGGGGGTCAGAAGATCAGAAGCCATGAAGAGAGCTGTAACACTTGCTGCGTTGAGCCTGCTGGAAGAATAAAGACTGTTCTCTGACTCTTCATGTGCCACTCAGTTCTTTCCCCTATCAAGAGCTGTAACACTAGCTGTACACATTGCTGCAACATGCTAGGCTGACACCACAGCACTCTAGCCTGGGCAAAGTGAGACTCTCTTAAAAAAATTAAAAAAAAAAGACTTGGCTGTACAGACAAGAGGGAATTACATGTGAGAGAACAACATGTCCAAATATACAAAGGTATAAGAACACTCTCCAGCTCCTTGGAGGACAATGTGTGTGTGTTTTTAAAACCTTCCTTTGCATAAATAGATGAAAAGGCTAATAGTGATCCTATCACACTGTGGACTTCAATTATGATTAATGGCAGCAAACACTACAATGCATTTCACTCCCTACTCCCTGACTCATTTGCCGCAGGTACAGAAAACGTGCTGTTCTCTGATTAGGGAAAGTACAATTGCTCCTTCTCCTGTTGCTTTTCTTCCCAGTGATCCCCAAGATTTATTCGTGTAGATCGTGAGAAGTGGACAGATTTAGGATATATTTTGGAGATGCGGCTGAGAGGACTCATGATGGATTTGATCTAGAGTGCAAAGAGGTATCAATGATGACTCTAAGGTTTTAAGTCGCAACTAGAAGGATGAAGTTGCCATTAACCTACACGGATAAGACTGCAGGAGGAATAGTTTTGTAGTGGTGAGAAAATCAAGATTCTATTTTAGACAAACTAAATTGGAGAAGCTGATGAGATATCCAAGTGGAAAGGTTCAGTAGGCAGTTGAATATAGAAGTGTGACATTGAGTCAAGGCTAAGGGTGTCTTTTTGGGAATAATCACTATATAGATGGTAGTTAAAGGCCCAAGACTGGATGAGATTATTTGGAGAAATGTCAGAAGAGTCAGCCCTAAACACTGAAAAGTGTGAAGGCTAGGTAAAGGAACTGGAGTCAGCATAAAACAGGGTGAAAGAGCAACGAGAGAGATAAGGCAAACATCAGGAACTTTAAGTGTCATGTAGACTAAGAGAAGAAAGTATTGTAATAGTGTAATAAAAAACTCTGTTGAATGTTGGCAAGTTGTAGAGTAAAATGGGGATAAAGAAGCATCAAATGCAGTTGGCAACCTAGAAGTCACTGGTGACCTTGTCAAGGGCAATTTCAGTGGAAGGATGGGGACTGACATCTATTTAGAATGGGTTAAGGAGGACGGGAGCAGTGCCTCACACCTGCAATCCTAGCACTCTGGGAGGCCAAGGCAGAAGAGCTAAGGAGCTCCGGAGTTTGAGCTCAGGAATTTGAGAACAGCCTGAGCATGAGGAGAAACCTCGTTTCTACAAAAAATAGAAAAATTAGCTGGGAATGGTGGCACTCGCCTGTAGTCCCAGTTACTCAGGAGGCTGAGTCAGGAGGATCACTTGAGCCCAGGAGTTTCAGGTTGCTGTGAGCTATGATGATGCCACAGCACTCTAGCCACGTGAAAGAGCAAGACTCTGTCTCAAAAAAAAAAAAATTATAAAAAGGGTGGGGAGGATCAAGATGGCGGACGAGAAACACCGCCAGACAGAGTGTATCTGCAGAAAAGACAGATTATAGCAGAAATTAGAAAAAAGAAGCAAGAAGATGAGTATACAGAGGACGAGGGCTGGAAGGAGGGGAACCTGAGACCCTAGGAGACTCCTCGGGAGGAGGCTGCGGAGAAGAACTGGAAGCTGAGACCACCAGAGCAGCCCGGAGACCAGTGGGAAGGGTAGGTGGATAAGTTACCTTTACCCTCCCCTGCATTTGGGACTGCTGGTGGGCTCCCAAGCGGGTGGAGAGACCTGCGGACACCAGCCCAGAGACAACCACTGCCAGCTAGCAGTGAGCCTGTAGCGGACATGGCACCAGGCTCCCAACTCCCTCCGGGTACCTCTCTGTGCACAGACCCGAACCGCGCGGTAGGCGCCATATTGCCTCCTGCTCCCCTCCGCCAAACCTACCCGCGGCTAAGCAGAGAGACAATACAGCCACCAGCCGGAGGCACCTCCAGGGAACAGGACCTTCCCTTTTGGGACCCTACAGCTGACTCAGGGAAACTCAGACTGTGAGCTCCCTACCCACCGGCCCTCCCAAGTGCTGCTGGCAGGGTGTTCCCAGGAGAACGGTGCAGACTCAGAGGCTGAGAGACATAGACCCAGCTAGGTCTCCCTGTGAGTGAACTGGGACCAGAACTCCTCTCCCTGGTGGGCATACAGTTTGAACTCTGGGACTCAGAGGTCAGACCTGCAGACCAGATCCCATGCACCGTGGTCTCGCATTGCCCGGGGCACAGAAGGGATATATGTGAACAGCCTACTGGGGTGTGTGCGCCTTCAGGGGCAGATCAGCATCCTAGAGGGCAACCCTCCTCCCAAAAGGAGGCTGTAAGCCCAGCCCAGGTGGCGTTTCTGAGCAGGGAACCTCCCCACCGGCATCACAATCTGGGGAGACCTGGTGGTGTGAGGTCTGGCCTACTGGGAGAATCCCAAGAGTAGCTGCGGAGTTGGGGAGGGTGGAAAGAAGCCAGGCTCACTACAGACTGCAGGTCTCAGACAGCCCCACCC